GCTATTCTTTAATATTGAGAACGATTTTTAGAACTATATCTTTATCGTTATCTTTATCGTGCTTGGTGTTAACGGGCCTTAACAGTATTTTTAGATCTGTGTGTGTTCGGTGTTAAAGAGACAGTGTCTAATAAACGTGCTGCCCATCGTTAATGTTAATCAAAGAACAAAAGAAAATCATTAGCTGACTGAATATCTTTCGTAAATTTTATGAGGATTAATCAATATTTTATTTATGAAAATAAACTATAGTGTTTTTAAACTTTTGATTTCAATTTCTGTACCTGACATTTGTTCCGTTTTATTTATTTATGCTATTGCTAATTCATTTGTTTGCTTGTCTTTAACAATTTAATGTTTGGAATTTAGTCTAGTTGTTTTTCCTGTGGTATTTTTTTTTGATAAAACCATAGACATGAAACAGAATAAATATGTTTGACATCTAAATATTTGACTTAAAAGTTGTTTAATGTATTTTTTAATCTTGAATCTCGAATAAGAATCGGAATCGATCAAATTCAAACGATACCCAACCCTAGTCTTTACAATGGCACACATTGTATAAAAGTCCTACATCATGTAATTTTCACAACTTTCAAAACTGTTTTATGGAGTTTTTGTCTACTGAAAGTAATCGAACCGTACGGTTCTCCACACACGGTTCGGCACGCGCTAGGACACATCTGTAATATGGTTTGCTATAAATAACACAAAACAAACCGGGTTTCGGCTAATGTATGTTTCTGTTGATGGATGCACATTCTGGCTTCCCAGTACATTACAACAACAGCGATGGAGAAAAACGTGGACAAACCATTCACTCTTGTTCAATGCGAATGCCGTATGCTGGAATATGAGCATTTATTTCATAGCACGCGCGCACAGGTGAGACCTGAACAGCACACGTTGATATGTGTTGACACTAAACTCATGTAAGCTTTACCAGTTTAAACATTTAAGAGCCAGAGGACGCGAGTGAGAAGATTTGTGCGTGCGCTCATCCGAAGCACGCAGATATTAAGCTCTCTCTGAAGTATTGTGTTTAAATGGACAAATTCACACAAGAATTATGTCAAAATGCCCGTCTTGGTAAGTATCCTATAGCAGACATAGCTGGCTGAATGTACTTAGTGTCTTAAAGTGACAGCACTTTCTTAATATTAATCAAACAACAACAACAAAGAAATCACTCACTGCTCTTGATTGAATAGCTTTTGTAACTTTAATAAAGATTAATCTTTCATTTATACAGTCGAATATGCAATGCTGTTTTACATTTTATTACTTAATTCAATTTCTGTACCTGAAAACTAATGTTAGACCTACCTAAAAAAAACTGAAAATCACTGTTTGTTTATTTGTATCTTTACTCCATTGTATTTATTTGTGCTGTTGCTTGTAGTTAGGTAGATTATTATTATTTTCTTAATTTTAATTTGACAGTATAGTTTTCCCCTAAACATAGCACATACCGAACCTTATCGTGATAAGAACCGAACCGTAAGTTGAACCGTCCACCCCTGACTGAAAGTGATTGTATCCCTTCACAAGATTTGCATTAAACCGCTCGATCCATATGCATTCATTTAAACGATGCCTTTATGAACTTTTTGGATCCTCTGAGTTTTGGTTACCTGGACTTTCAATGGAGGGACAGAAGCCTCTCAGGTTTCATTAAAAATATCTTTATTTGTGACCCTGCAGCACAAAAGCAGTGTTAAGTCGCTGGGGGATATTTGTAGCAATAGCCAACAATACAGTGTATGAGTCAAAATTATAGATTTTTCTTTTATGCCAAAGATCATTAGGATATTAAGTAAAGATCATGTTCCATGAAGATATTTTGTAAATGTCCTACCATAAATATATCAAAACTTAATGTTTGATTAGTAATATGCATTGCTAAGAACTTCATTTGAACAACTTTAAAGATGATTTTCTCAATATTTAGATTTTTTTGCACCCTCAGATTCCAGATTTTCAAATATTGTCCTATCCTAACAAACCATACATCAATGGAAAGCTCATTTATTCAGCTTTCATGCATAAATAAATGCAAATAAATGCATTTTAAAAAATTTACTCTTATGACTGGTTTTGTGGTCCAGAGTCACATTTGTGTTTCCAAAAGTCTCACGGGTTTGGAACAACATTGCACATGATTTGAAGTGTCAAATGTCTCCTTTGCAGAAAAAAGCCCTGGCGCGTCGTCGGCGACACGCTGGAGGAAGTCCGAGTCCAAAAGCAGACGCGGTTTACGCCGTCAGCCTGAATCTCTGGACTCGGTGGACTCCGTGTCGTCCACGCCTCACTACCGCTTTCGCTCGTCCTCTTCCGGGCCGCTATTTTCGGCCGCCTCTCCCGGGGACTTGCACATTCTCCCTGACCAGGAGGGCTCCGAACAGGCTTCCCTGACCACCCGATGTGCCTCCAGCTCCGAGAAAACCCATCCCCGGCCCAGAGGGAACCGAAGCTGCCCGCCAAAGCCCCGCGAGCCAGGAGAAGGCGGCAGCGGCGGCCGGAGAAGAGAGCATGACTTCAGTTCTTCTCAGCCTTTGGTGCTGTATGGGAGTAATGAATTTATGGTGTGACGACGATGGCGTCCAACATTAGCCGGAGCCGGTAAAGCAGAAACACCAATGGACGTCCGGATAACATTTGAAGTGAAAGAGAAAACACTTGGAAATCAGCCTTCAATTGGAAATCTCGCCCTTCCAGTGAACAAAATGTAAGGAAGGTGCTAAACATGATGCTGGTGAACGACCTACTGACTGTAACGGACCTGCTGGACCGGTCTGTTTTCACAACAAGTATAGCTGAACAGGGAAAGAGCGATTTTTAATCAACGCGCAATGTCCATTTTCATGTTTACAGAACTGAGCCAATGAGAAGTCAAGAGACTTCAACTGACTGCATGCCGTATTGCTACCATATTGTTTTCACTCTATGATTAAAACCTTTGATAAAGTGCTAAATATGTAAAATAATATTATATTATGGACAAGGGTCGAACGAATCGTGTAAATAGCTGAAATACCTGTGCTGCTGGTTGAACCATGTGAAAATAACGTCTTTTTGTGTCGCAGATTGAAAACCAGAGCGTGTGAATCTGGTGTCTGTATGTTGTTTCTTATGGATCTGACAAAAACGCACATGATTTAGGGTTTTTCATCCCATTTTTGCATAATGCAAACAATCTTGGTTTTCTTTATGCAAAATCGGTTTGATTGTGGAGTGAAATCTGACCCGGGCATGAGCTTTAACCCACGTTTTTTGGTTCCAAGAACACGTTTTTCATTCAGATGAAAAAGCAAAAGGATGATAAGGGATGAAAAGTTAGACGTGTTTGTTTGTCTCATGATTATTTGATGTAATTTTACTCGCCATCCTTTTTTTTCTCATCAGTGTTATGTGCAACCGAATCAGGACTTGAAAATATATTTAGTTTTTTTGGTAAATTGCTTTTTTAAAGTATATTGTGTGTTACACATGCTGATATTTTATTGTGAATTTCAAGTATATGAATATGTTTGGTGTTCCATTGTGCCATCTGGAGTCACATGCTTAGTTGGCCATAACATCCTTTCTGTTTAAAAAATTTAATTTAGGGCTAATTTATCACGAACATCCTCTGCTGTGCATTTTTACCCTTTAAACTGTCATTAGTAGATTAACATGCAAATTCACAGCAGTAAAGTTCATAGAAAAACAAGGACACGTAACGGCAAAAAGCTCAAAGCTTAACTATATAGTACATTTATGGACTCCACATTGCTGTATATGTGCAGGGAATGTGTCTCCAGAAGCTGTTTACTCTTTTCGATGTGCTGTTACAGATATCTATGTCATATCAGTCATAGCCTATTGCAAGAAACCATCACCATGGTGCAATATCACAAGAGACATTAAGCTATGTTTTATGTTCTGATAAGTATGCTTGGGTACTGTCCTGAACTTTAAGTCACTCAAAATGCTCAAAAACAGGCGGTAAGAAGGAAACTGTTGTTTGTTGCGTCCTGCATAAGTGAATGTAATCACTGTAGCATGCCACACTATTGTCAAAGTTTCTCTTTTACAGCTACTGTATTTAAGACCACGTCTGAAGCCGGAAACATACTCAAAGCGCAAACCCCGAATGCAGTCCCTAACATATTTAACATGTATTAAGGTGCGGTCACAAATGTCAAGAGTTTTGTGTGAAAAAGGTGTGTTATCCATTCCTACTGGATTGCTATTGGGATGACTGGATTGGATTTGGATGCAAGAGTAAATGTCACTGCACCGTTTTACTGTGGCTTCATAACTCATTGGGTTATGGAGGCCAAAAAAAATTTTCAAATTTTCAGTCAAATTGAAAAGTTGAAATTTGCTTGTCATAATTATGACATACTAAGTTGTAAATATGACTTTAAACGTTGAAATTCACAAAAAAGTTGAATTATGACATGCTGTACTAAGTCATAATTATAAAATAAAAGCCGAAATTGAGTCGCAATTATGACGTACCAAGTCATAATCATGATTTTAAACGTTCAAAAAGTTCAAAATTAGGACTTTGAAAATGAAGTTATGACATACTGTACTAAGTCATAATTATGAGATAAAAGTTGAACTTGTGGCTTTAAAAGTTGAAATTGATAATAAGTCGAAAGCTGACATTGACATACTAAATTGGAATTATAACAAGTCAGAATTGAGATATAAAGGCAAAAAAGGATTTACAAATTTTTTTAAATCTCATAATTGACTTAGTATGTAAATTTGGACTTTTAATGTAATAAATTCAACTTATCTCATAACTATGCCTTTTTATGTCGTAATATCGACTTGGTTTATGATCATTTTGACTTTTAAAGTCATAATTATGTCTAACTATGTAATAATTAAGACTTCTTACATGGCGTAAATGGGCTTCAATAATCGGATGAGTTGCTGTCAGTTGTTTAGCTTGTTAAACCGGATTTAGGTAGCTAGCAATAAACATGTTAACATTACCTTAATTCTCTTCAAAAACAAAACAAACTGACCGTGATGTTAATGAGCTTTAAGCAGGCTCTTCAGAAAGCAAAGACTCGTGATCCTGCGTCGATTAAAGTTGTGCAGAGGATGTTTTTTGGCATAAGACTGTTGTGTTTCTAAAAACAAGGGATGTAATATCTTGCATATGACGATTATGTCCCGTTGAATGATCCTGCTCTGTGTGTTTTGATGGACTGACAGTCTCTACAAACAGATTTGTGCTTTCGGAGTTTGTGTTTGTGCTCTTGTGAGCGCAGTTGTAAACGGTGCAATTTGTGTAATATTTCTTTTATGTGTAAATGTAAGGATGTAAAAAAAAAAAAAAAAATAACATAATCATTGTCTTATTAAAAAAGAAGAGAAAATAAACCTGCTAATGTTTTCCTTAATCTGTCAAGAGAGAGAGAACGGGATGGGCGGATCGATCCTTAAAGGGGTCATATGATGTTGCTAACAAGAACATTATTTTGTGTATTTGGTGTAATGAAATGTGTTTATGCGGTTTAAGGTTCAAAAAACACATTATTTTCCACATACTGTACATTATTGTTTCTCCTCTATCCTCCGCCTTTCTGAAACGCTCGATTTTTACAAAGCTCATCGTTCTGAAAAGCGAGGTGTGCTGTGATTGGCCAGCTATCCAGTGCGTTGTGATTGGCCGAATACCTCAAGCGTGTGACGGAAATGTTACGCCCCTCACCATACTGTGTTGATGCCGTGTCCGGCCGGAGCGACAAGACAAAAACATTAAAACCCATTATAAACGAGGCATTCGTTGCATCCAGTGGGGACATAATTACGGATTATAATGACTTATACTGTCTTTTTACGCGTTGCATTGCATCGTGCCGCGTAAACATAAAACCATGTCTGCATTTGTGATCGGAGAAATGACAAACAACAAGCGCTACTCTACACTGCTCAAAACTCACGTTTGAATCGTGAGTGGCAAATCCTTTAGATATAAAAAACGTACTTACAGTCTGTGAGTCAGAACAGCCGGCATTGTAGTCTACTCTCCCAGGATCAGGAAACAGTCCTCCATAAAATGTGCTGCACACATCTGAATATTTGGGTTGAAGTGTTCTGGAACAGTGTTGTAAATACAACTTAACCACTGATTTCTAGTCGTGTCTAGTCTAGTCGCTTTCTTGAGTGAGCGGCGGCGGGCGGGCTTCAGAACGGTGCGGCCGGCGGATTCGACGAAGGAGCATCTGGAGGGCTTGCGGCAAACACTCCAAAGAGAAAGGAACAATTGAAATCGCATCAGATGACCACTTTAAGTATCGATACTTTCGATACTGATTTTGTATCGAAAGGATCGATCCTCACATAAAAATATTGATTCTAAAGTTAATTTTTTTAACCATTAATTTGATTTATTTATCAAGAAATTCGGTGCATAAAATAAGTGGAAAAATAGACTATATTAGTGAATAATTGTGTTGGATAGATTCTCCTGCTCGTCGAAACACACGCAGATGCTGAAAATTTTTAATTGTTATATTTCACAATATTGCTGCTTTTACTGTTGTTGTTTTTGTTTTCAAATAAGTGCAGCCTTGGTGAGCATGAGACTTAAAAAAATATTACAAAATATTACTGACCCCAAACTTTTGTGAACATGTATTATTTATTTTAAATTGGCTAGTTTGTGCAAGTAAATTTATTTAAACTGCTTGTTAAAAGTTCAAATGGATTGTGTTATGTTCTGTAAATGCTGTTAATAAATCTGTCAGAAGAAAATATATGCTAAAGTTTCAGCTTTAGAGGTACAACAGCCTGGCAGCCTTTTACAAAAATCAACCATGGTTTTATTACAGCAACCACAGTTTACCACAGTATCTGTAGTAAAACTGCAGTAACCACAAATTTACCATGATAATAATAATAATACATTTGAGTACTTATGTAACACTGTGTTTATTTTTCACAGTGGTTAAAAGATCAGTTTAGTTTAGAGAAGAAGCAGAAGAGGACAGCAGTGTGAAGTGTGTTTTGTCTTGTTTTCTCATTAGATTTCAGCACGGTTGTCATTGCTAGGAAACATTGTTTCACTTACTGTGTTTTATCAGGGTAAATACGTGCTCAAGTCGCGTTAGTATAAATAGTATACATATTGCTAAATAGTAAGGCGTGGCCAGCTGACTTCAGGCAAGTATAA